ATTCATTGATCGCACTTGCTGAACGTAGATTCCTGTACGTTCTATAGGCCAATAGCGTTCGAGATACGAAAAAATTTGTGGAACGAATTAAATTCGTATCTAGGGGATCCACTGTAATAGTCTCAGGTCTGTATATATTACTAGTGAGTAGTGTACTACAAACACAATACCAGTTCATAAATTATGACAAACTTTATGGGTTAGTGTACGAAATTACACTTAGTGACTTACTTTAGTGTAGTACTAGCCCGACCAGGCTGTGCGACGGATTGTCTATACTATTGTTTAGCTGCAGCCAATGATTGAAACGGTATTCTAACCCTAGCACAGTAGCAATACCGTTTCTTGGAGCTAGTGTAGTAGGCCTACCAACCTTACTTTAGTAGTAGTACTTCTACTGATTGCTTTTTAAAGAAAATGTTCTATCTACATTTCATACAAAATAAAGTTCTGTCATTACATACCAATCCAGTGACAGCAATAAACAAAACGATCTAGAATAATAAAGGGTAATAAACGTCGTAATCACTTTCATAAAAGTACGACGCGGTTCGTTGGCATAATTCGTTCGTTTCAATAGAGGTCGCTGCTGAAGCGGAAGCTACACGCGAGGCTTCCGCGAAATCACGCAGTGTATCCGTTATTAGTATCCGTTATCCGTGTAGTCTGTTCATAGGTGTGTGTGTTGACTGTGTTGTCAGAGACAATAGAAGCAATATAACACTAGGTCCTAATGTTCTAGGCGCTCTGGTGTTGTGTTTTGAATGGCTGCTTGTTCCAGTGAATTTTTTTAGCGGAAATCATGTTGAACAGTGAACCCGAATAGTTCTAGTTGGAACGTCGTATATTTTTGGAATTATTGCCGTTTTAAAAATGTCTAGGCCTATATCTAATCACGTTGATTCAGATCTTGCTCTTGCTGTCAAACTCCAGGAGGAGTTTGACCGAGAAACGATAGGACCTATCGTAGGTGCTCATCATGGATCGAGTTTCACTGTCCCTAGTTCCAGTTCTATTTGGAGTGACACTGACAATGCCTCATCATCCTCAGCATCTCCGTCAACGTCTAACTGGAACCTGCAAAATGGAACCAAATTTAAGCAAATTGCTGAGGCAATATCCAAACCCCTCTCTGTTGTGGACGAGCAGTGGGAATTGACTGACCCAAACCCTGATGTGCGAGCCTTGTTCTTGGAGTACAACCGAACGTATTTTTGGGGAAAGTTGGAATGTGTTGAAGTTCGGTGGAGCCCGCGTATGACACTGTGAGGCACTGATATAATTTATCAATACCCAAATAATTAGCATATCATCTAACTAGCAGAACTAACAATCATACATTAAAAATCAAAGTCGAAATGCATATTAACAGAAGTAGATAATAGGGAAGGAGTGTGACTTAAAAAAACATGGGAAATTCGTCATTTACTAGTCTTAGAATACGTATCGTTATTTACTACGCATAACTCAACCAACTTGAGCTCAAATCGTACACAGTACATTCACCTAGGATCTTGCGAAATCGTTTCCTCGTATACACTCGCAATCCGGAGATACAGACTAAAACGTACGACACGATTCTCCATTCTGTTGCCAGCAAACCGAATCCATAACCAGCCAGCCTAACTTGAAACAATAGGCAGCTACTAACGACTCTTGCGCCCTCTTGTGCCCTCGGCAATGCAGTGTAGCTCGCTGGGAGATTGGACATCAACGCAACATTTGGCAAGCTAATCTTTGACCTATTTACAGCTGGTATGCCCCCCACGCACGCACGCCCACCGCAATCAGCAGCAGCTCCAGCTCCAATCTCCCAGCGAGCCACACCGCATCGATACGATTTGAACTCAAGTTGGTTGAGTTACGTGTAGTAAATCGTAGGTAAATGACGAATTTCCCTTGTTTATTGAAGTCACACTCCTTCCCTATTATCTACTTCTGATATTAATTAATATTGCTCTGCTATAGGTTAGGCAAACTACATAACATATTAAATGCAGAGACTCCAACTCTCCCGATTTGGGCAGGAGATCTCCCTTTTTGGGGCCATTTTCCCGAAATCTCTCGTTCTCCCGCGTAAGGAATACTTTACTCTAGAATTTTAGAGTATATTATGATAGTAGATTTATAAATAATAGCACATACCTATAAATATCTATAATTACGCATTCACGTTTTGTCATAAAACAACATTGAATTTCGAAATCTTTATTTTTGGGTGCTGACATGACACCCGCGACCGTGCTGCCACCCTGAAAAAGTTGCGCATTTGCCAAAATATTTTGCACGTTACAGACCAAAGGCTAATCACAAAAGTACAATTATATTTATACCTAAATGTTATTTAACCGAACGATATTCATTTTAGGACAAATTTATCCATATTATAACCAGTCTGCACGAAAAACTTCCACCCTCATTGGCCCAGCGGCCCTGTGAAATGTATAATTCACTGGCCCACACTAGGTTTTACAGGCCCGATTCAATGATCATCATATTATGAAAAGAGAAACAGAACTCTTTGGTGTATTCTTAGAGATTTATTCTTTCATGAAATTGAACAAAAAATTATCCACTTCCCTCTCCCCCATCTCATTGTCACTGCCATCGTACTCATGATCATCATGCTCATTCATAATCAGAAAGCTCATTTCGACTTCGAACAGTAACTTAGCCAACACGTTCAAGGCCACGTTGAAAACCAGAACTGAAAACCGGAAGTTGTTCCGACCTCTAGCGGCGACAAACATGCATGGTGTTGACTAGTTATTTTCCCTACTTAAGATCGGGAATATGATGCGCTATCGGTAAATATCGGTAAATTTTCATACAAAATATCGGGAATTTCGGTAAATTCTCAGACTGAAGAAGCTGAAATATCATTAATAGACCATTTACTCCATTTTTTCCCACTGGCCCATCGGCCTTGTTCATTTACCAGTTTCATTGGCCCCACGGAAAATTTACTGGCCTCGGATACTGGGCCATGCAGTGCTTAATTTCGCAGACTGATTATAACTGAAACTATATGTTGTTTATAAGATATTGCAATCCTTCTGCTCTTAAATTAATAAATAAGAAACACCCTCGGTCTGTAGCCTGCAGCCGAAACGTTGCTTTGCGCAACTTTTCAGTGGGTGCACTGCCAGTGGCGCCACTGTCATTTTAAGCAACGGTATAGCCGTCAGTTGTAAAACATTTTTTTTAAATATTTCTAATAAATATTGAAGCATAAAACTTTTTATGAAGCGTAATTTTAACCTAAATCAACTGAAAATAACCGTAGAACCTAGAGTCAAGTATTCCTTTAAGCTGCATTTCCTCCCGCTTAAGTTTTGTTTTTTCCCGCCCAAAAAATAATAATTTGATCGACTTTTAAAGTTACATTGGATTTGAGCCGTTGCTTTGTATGTTTGTGCTGTATATGAGCAGAGCGCCTATCTACAGATGCTATTTGACTTTGCTTCTCATAAAATGAATCAAACAAATGTGTAAAAATAGCTTGTTTCAATACTAAAAAAAAACTTAAAATCCAGGAGCTTCAACGGGCGCTGCCCCCTGCATCCCCGCCAGGGGCTTTGCCCCTGGACCCCACCCATAATGGGCAGGCGATCCGCGCGCTCAGTGTGTTCTCCAGTTTGCCAAGGGGTCCAGGCTGGAGAATCTCCAGTTTAGGTGATGCTTAGGGTTGGAGTCTCTGTAAATCTGAACTACATATCACCAAAATGAAAGCAATGATTTTTTTCTGATGTGTATATCATTGAGAATAACGTCATATACTTGACCAAGACCAAAGCAACGATCATACAGTGACAATAATTGAATTACTTTCAGTCGATGTAATGCTATGAAATAACATGAATTGTGTGTAGCAGTGTAAACCAAAGGCAAATTCAATCAGGCTAAATGTATATATTCTTTTATAAACTCATAACTTCGTGGTTTAGGGAAGTTTCCCCTAATGGTGAATTGTCATGTTTGTAGGTGTGCAGGACTATGCTGTTATGAGGGAAGAGGAGGCTTGTGTTCAATCAGGCTCAGTCTTCCTCTTCTTAAACTTAGACCTAGGAGTGATTTGGTTCAAACACTGCTGGTAATTATTATAATTAAAATAATATCCTGCTATTCACTACATAGCTTGCAAGATCGGAGATTTTTGCTGGTAATGAAAGACGTACCTTCTTGTGTTATTATCATACAAAACATTTTCAGAGATCATGATTTTTTAAACTGCATGATACAAGCCTTTGGGAATGGAAAGCTATGTTTGCATATGAAGGGTAAACTGTAATCATATATATTGTATCATTCTCAAAATAATATCCACATTTGAGATGATTTTTAATTTTTTATATAACAAGTAAAAAGCAGTTTGTTTTATTTCAGCATGAAATGATCCATGCATATCTGTTTGTAACAGATAACAACAAGGTAACGCCTACACCACTATAGCTATATACTTTACATGTATACATAATAATCAACCACATTAGGATGAGATAAGTCAAGTGTGTCTTTGTAGGTCCATGTCAATGAAGAAACAAATATAAACATATTAGATTCTGAGTAGTCAAACCAAGATATTAACTAATACATTGCCTTATTTGTTCTTGATCTCAATTTTGATCTCAATAGCTGTTATGTTATAACTTATAGTAATAATAAGTAGTCATGTGGTTATACAATTTTATAGCACAAAGTAAACAAGAAAACAAACTCGGATTGTCTCTGTATTTACAGGATCATGATGGTCATGGACCAGAATTTTGCAAACATATGAAGCGAATAAATGACAAGTCTGGTTCCAAAATCACGGTATGTTCGCATATATATGTAGCAGGGGAAAAAATACACGGGGGCGGCGGGCGATTTCGCCCCCGAAATGCCAAAAAGAGCCCCCGAAAATACGATATCGGGGGCGACCCCAAAAGCAAAAGTCGCCCTGGAAATCGATTGTCCAGGTCGGTCCCGCGCCTTGCCGATCTCGCTCGCCTCCTGCCGCTAGCGGCAGCCGGTTCCACGGCGCGGTAGAATTCCTAGTACGGTGTGGCTGTCAAGTGTTTATCATTAAGCATGCATGTGTGTATTGCATTCAATCAAGCGCGCGCCGCCGCCGCGCGCTATATATACGTGTGTGCCTGTGCGCGTGCTTGCGTGTGTGCCTGCGCGCGTGCGTGCGTGCCGGTGTGCCTGCAGGCGTGCTTGCGTGTGTGCCTGCGCGCGTGCGTGCCTGCGCGCGTGCGTGCGTGCGGGCGTGCCTGTGTGCCTGCGGGCGTGCTTGCGTGTGTGCCTGCGCGCGCTCGTGCGTGCGTGCCTGCGTGCGTGCGTGCCTGCGCGCGTGCGTGCCTGCATGCGTGCGTGCGTGTGTGCGGGTGTGCCTGCGGGCGTGCCTACGTAGACCCGTAGGACCAACGACCCGTAGGATTATAGAACGGTAATCCATGGAAAATCCTAATGAAATTCACACGTATATTTTTCCCTGCCGGCACACTCGTGTGTCATTCCCGATTGTAGCTTTTTTTGTCAATTCCCCGAAAGAGTTTTGCTGCCGCTCTCTCATAGTCCAGCAATGCCAACCCTCTAAATTTTAGTAGTGATTAGTACCACGCTGAAACAATCGTGCCCCCCCCCCATACTTCAATCAATGCCGCCCCTGCCAGCAGGCACGTACGCAGCGTCGATGTGCACAGCCATTCACACGTGCCTCGCGGGCCGCTTTCTCAAACCCCCTTACGCGGGCCTTGGACCCCAGCCGCAAGAGACTTCGCGTATAAACAATCGATCCTCCTAGCTCGTACAGGCGGACATTCCACTATTTGGGCTAGCCGTAATAGTTCTGTGTTTAGCTGAACCTGTGATGTATTCACTATTCAAGGTGCATTTGTGGTTGTGACTTGTGAGTTGTGATTATATGTTAGTCTGTCAGTCTGATGAATAACTGTCTTGAATATTGACTGTTGTGTCTGTGTGTGTCTGTGTGTGTGTGTGTGTGTGTGTGCGTGCGTGCGTGCGTGCGTGCGTGCGTGCGTGCGTGCGTGCGTGCGTGCGTGCGTGCGTGTGACGTGTGTGTGGTGTGTGCGCGCCCCCACGAGTGTGTATTAGCTACTGTGCTTGTGTGTACATTTGAGGAAACAGCCCTGGAAAAAAGTCGCCCTGGAAAGTGGAAAAAGAGCCCTGGAAAATGAAAAAGTAGCCCCCGAAATTTTGGGGGGGTTTGCAAAAAGCCCCGGAAAGAAAAAATTAATTTTTTCACTGATACGTAGGCCTATAAATGAACTCGTAGCAATTGCTAATGTAGTGCGACGAAAATTCCTATAATGTTAACAAGCTTTCTGTTCAAGAAAAAATCTAGTAAGAGCCTTGTAGTGAATTTCTCATTGCAGGTGTATCACAGTTTTCATGATGAGGTTGATGTGTATCGACAACACTGGTGGCGATGTGATGGTCCTTGCCAGAAGCGCCCTCCATATTTTGGAATTGTTCGCCGAGCAATGAATCGAGCACCAAGTTTCAGAGACACCTGGTGGTCGCAACATCAAAGTACATGTGGAGGAAAGTACACGAAGATCAAGGAACCAGATGACTATGGAAAAAAGGGGAAGAGAAAAGCAGGCATGGACATTGAAGGTAAAGATGTAGTAATCTCATGTATTATGTGCAAGGGCTAAGAAGTGGATAAATATTTCAAGTTCATTTTGAAACAAAGTGATACGTACGGTGCTTCAAATTTTATGATTATGTTAAAGATGTCATGATATAGCCATGATGTCATAAATAATTTTTGTGCTGTTAACTCCGTTCTTGCAATTTGTCTAGAAGGCATTATGACGTTCAATTTCTGTTATCTGTAACACATTAGTCCATGTCCAGAGAGACCGGGTACAAGATGGCGTTGCGCAAAAGATGCGTTGTTCCCCGACCGCCGAAAGCGGTTAAGCCGCGCACTTCCGCGGGACTGGGCGCACGCGACCGCGGGGTGTTGTATGTAGTGTAGACACGAGGTTTGCATTAATCTTACTATAAATTGGGGATTTTCTGTGTGTGTGTGTGTGTGTGTGTGTGTCCGGCTATACGTTTCCGCACCGCTCAACGGATCCTCTCCAAACTTGGTCGGAACATTCTACAGATGATGACATGTTGCATGGGCTATTTTTTCTTTTCAGTTTCATTTTTTTCACATTCCACGTTCAAAAACATTAAAATAGTGGGAAATTTTTGCATGGCAACGTCACAACAACACGAAAATACGACGCCACCTATCGGATCTTATATCATATAATATGTGTTCATATTTTTTATTTTTTTTTATTTATTTTTTTATTTTTAGTTTTGACCACCTAACGGGGATGGACGGGTATGGCTAGTTAAATAAGTTAATAATTTTACAACTCCGTTAAGATTATCGGCCAGCAGATTGATTCTTGTAAACGAGGGCAGGATCGACGAGTCGGATGGAATGTGTGAAATAAGAGTCTACGACAGTTTCGCACAGGCAAGGCAGCAGCTAATATGTTGTTGTTTGTGCGCCGGGTGGCGTTTGTTTATGCACGAATTTTGCACACGAACGTGCAGCAACTCGCCTCTCCCCGGAGGAGGGTTCGACACAATAGAGGTACACTCCTGTCTCGTGAAATGGAGAGAGGTCGAAGGTGTGCGCTCGACACGCCATCCTTGTAAGGATGGCCAATTAATTACCCACATAACCGGCGGTGTACATGGGGATTTATTCTAAATTGGGAGCATCTGCTGGGCAGCTCGGACGAGCACAAGGTTTTTGCAGGGATGGTTCCTTGTTTGGACAGGGGTTTGTGGATGCTAAATTTAAGCGTATATATAAGACAGCTCGAAGCGAGTGATAGTCAGTGTCTAACCTTGTCTGTGCCTGTGTGATGTGCATCGTTATTGAAACTGTGAGTATGTAAGTTCATTCTTTAAGTGATGGCTTAGGGTTCTTGCCACTATATATCTATCTATCTTGATTCTTATTTGTTCTATCTTAGTGAGCTATCTTCTAGTACGTGCAATAATCTTTCTATATTTCTAAACGTAGTTTCTTATAGCTGTGTAAGTTGCACTCGCACCGTATTAATTGTCAGCACCTCTTCGTGTACTATCGTACGTGTATTATTCTATTAACTGCAAGAGCTTTCTTGAATAAATCTTATTCTTTGTGGCACTGTCTCACTCTCTTGTGCTTTGAATGTTAAGTGTTAACATTTCTATACACTTCTTGTAAGACGGAGAAGCCCGCTTACAGTAGCATCTCGCGCTCCCCGCTATACGAATTCGCGCGCCGAAGGAAGGCGGGCGCGCAAATGCGTATAGTGGGCAGCCTAACATCGCGCAGTTTTCGGGACACGTACATCGGCTCGGCTACGTCGGCTTTGGAAGGGGGCCTTTCCGATTATAGATTGACACGCGCTTGTACATCCTCGCCGTCGTACCGTCACCTGCCGTATTTTCGTACCTTATCTGGCGTTCTCCCACTCTCTTTCTCTCTTTCTCTCTTTCTCGCACTCCCCACGGTCTGTCTCTCTCTCTCTCTCTCTCTCGCTCGCTCCGCCGCCACGGGTTAATAAAGTATCTATATACATGCATCAATGCTGCCGCAGCCAGGCACACAAGCACTTGCAGCGGTTCAATAAAATGTAATGCTAAATAAATACGAAATCTATTTACTACCAAAGTCACCGCAGCGCAAAAACTCCCCGAGCCAGCGTTTGTTGGAGATAGCATTTCGACCGTGCCCAGCCGCCACCTGAGCGCGGGGGAGGAGGGAGGCTGGAATGTCGCGCTCCGCCATCTTCGTAAAAACATGTGCAGATATATATTTGTGTGTCAGTGTGGCGGCGTATTGTAGGATTAGCTACGTGTAAAAACTGCCACGGCCACGCCAGCACGTGCTCGCACGACGTGCCGTCGCCACGGGCAGTGCGGGGTCAAGAGGTTGATAAAAACCTCGCATGTACGCAGCCAGACGCCGCCACGGCGGCGGCGCTTTTGGAGATAGCATCTAGACCGCGCCAGCCCACGTGGAGCGCCGTACACGTCTTCGTTAAAACTTCTGTGATAGACGTAACGCTATACTCGGCAGTAGCGCACGTCATCGCGTAGCGGCCAATGAGCGAGCACGTCATTGCTGATTGACAGCATTTCTTGGAGTTTCTTGTAGGAGCCACTACGTCTTAGCCATGAGGCGCGCCACCCCAAAAAAAGTTTAGGGGCCGTTTGGAGATGGCCTCAAGCCGTCCATCCCGAAATGTCAGTTAGATTGCGCCCAGTTTTCGCGGAGTTCGTTTTCAGACCCCTGTCTAAGGTATCTGTCTAAGGGGACAAAAAAGGGGCGGCGTATTCGCTGTTGGGGCGCGGCTTCGCCGCGAGCTGTGCGCTGCGCGCAAAAACCGGGGCCGCAAGTCCGTCAAGTCATTTCCTATTTCATGAATTATATCCCATAGATGGCGCTGTGATGCAACTAGAAAGGTATTTGTTAACACATTTGTACAATGTTCGGAAAGATGTGGACTTGTAATAGATCATTATACACTTTATAGTAATCAAATTGTTTGATTTATCATTATCATTCTAGGTTTGGCTGCCAAGAAGCCAAAATCAGAGGGGCAAGACATCAGAAGCTTGTTTTCTGGAAATGGAAACATGGTTGGGACATCCAGAAGCCAGTCAGAACGAGGCATAAAACAAAATGGCATGACAGTTCTCCCAGGTGATACAAAATCAAAATCTCTACCTGTGATACACAACTCTAACGATAGCCAATCTAGTGCTCAGGCTAGTAGAGGTAAGGAAACCTGCCCAGAGACAAAGCATAGCAGGAGAGATAGCACCGATATTGTGAGACAGCCAAAAGCTAGTGATTTGAAAAGTCTGGGTAATGCTATCAAAGTCAACAATAACCTGTTTCCAGGCAAAGGATTTGTTCTAGGTGCCTGCTCTAGTGGAGAGCATACTGCACAAAAAGACAATGTACATGTCAATAGAAATAATGGCGATGTTCACAAAACGGGTCGACAGACAAAGGACAAACTTGGAATCAAACACGGCTGGAAAGGCTCATGTGCAAACCAAAACGGAGGTAAACACTGTAAATCGGTACCACCACAAATGACATTAGATCTCAATGGCAGGAGCAATAATGCTGCTTGCCAAAATCGAGTGTTGTCACCAAACAATAGCAGAAACAACGGCACATGGCAGGATTCCCATAAGCTGACCAGCAGAGAGAACATCGTGGCCGTGAGGCAGAGAAGCACTGACCACACTGGCACGGCAGTAGCAAGAGACAGAGGTGTGTCTCAAGCTATGAGGGGGTTGGCAGAAGACCTGTATTCTGAGAAACCCATGGCATCTACATCGGACACAGCCATGAATAATCGAGGATCTTCCACCGCCATCTTCACACAAGTTAAAGAGCAGGTCAATAAAAGCCCTGCAGAGCAGCGATCTCCGAGCAAAACTTTGACCAGCATTGAGAAGCAGTCTACACTGGACAACTTCTTTTCTACTCCAGCAAAAAAATCGACAGCAGGTGATCCACAGAGAGCTGTCATTCGGACAGGCGAGACAGACAGTGCGGGCAGCGATTATGAAGATGAAATAATGGAAATCTTTACCCCTCCCTCTGCAAAGAACGTTCAACATGAGGTACCCAAGATCCCTATGTGCCAATGTCCAGTGTGTAATAAAGAGGTGAAAGTATCTGCCATCAATGCTCATCTGGACCAGTGCTTAGGTTAACACAGTTTTAAGCTTTTTACAGTTTAAAATGCATAGATATGTTACCATGGCTGTTTTACTAGTGTTTGCAATATTCTGTATTAATTGAGAATTTGCATGAAATAACCATCTTACATTTCATATTTTGTGCTATTGGCAAACCAGCTAGTATGTAATTAAAATACGGATATTATACTGCAATATTTGTATAGCTCAAATTGTGTAACACATGTAATTTACCTGCACAGATGTTTTTTGTAACCTGTATCTATTTTTATTACAATGAATACATATCATTAGGAAAGTCACAGCTACGTTCAGTTTAGACATTGTTTATTATGCACCAAGTTACCACGTATTAATAAAATGTATATCATGATGTAAAAAAATTTCTATTCTAATAATACACTAATCAAATTGATCCATAAAAGTACTTATTTGGTACTGAAAATGTTTCTACACATTATACAGAAAAATGTTTCGATATGAGCTACATCTTAAGATTAATATCACAGTTGGTTAATAACAATACCTAAGGCATAACTGTACAAGTTTGTCCTACCAGACCAAGATCAGAATCTTGCAAATCTAGGCTTTCACCCCAAATGATTTACTGTACTTGGCAGTTTATAAAACGGTACAATGCATTGGACGGATCCCAAATTGAAGGGGAAAAAAGATTTCATACTACTCCCCACTACCAGGTATATGCTCATAGTATATTAGACAGTACCGTTGTATTTCATAAGCCCCCTAAGCACTCCTATCAGTATTGCTCTGTATATACTGTAGGTTATTCCGATGAGGTATATAATATACCTTACCCTAGGTTAGATTTCTTGGTTGTGTGGCCCTGCAAAGATGTTTTTTCACCTGGTCACAATTAATTGACTAATGCGGGGAGGAATGGTAAGAGAATGTGAGGACGAGTTTAACAATAATAAGTTCGAAGCAGTGGATGAGAGAGGCTCAGCTAGGTGGCTTTATGTAGACTTTGGTCTTGACTGTGTGGAGCGATTCCATTTTCCCCACGTACCCCTTCATTGTCAACTTCCTCATTGGCTTCAAACTACGTGCTGACTGCGATATTTTCCATTCCTGGACCGTCACTACTTGCTTTATATTTCCCCATTATTCACTAGTTAATGAAAAATATGTTTGTAAGTGCAATTGCATATGTGGAATTTTTCCCATAAAGGTTAAAATCTAGGTCTGTTAAGACAAAATCAAACTTGTACCATTGGGTATAATTGAATATTTTTGCACATTTTCAATTTTCTGTATTCAGCAATATTGTTAATAAAAAAAATCTGTATAATATTTAACCCGAAATGTTTAACAATCTAATCAATTTGTATATCAAATACAGGATTTCACTGATAGATTATTTCCTCAGACTATTACCATTAACATAACAAACGTGTCATACAAGTGGCCCAATATTTGTGAAATTGAAATGTAATGCATCATCATTACACTCTATAACATGACAAACTGAAAGTAAGCATGAATCTATTCAGTGTTTTATCTTGTATGCAAAATCATCGATGAAGTTCATTATGTTGGACCAGTTTTTCCACAGCAGAATCCCCCCTCCTGTTACCATGGCTACCTTCAGTACAGTATTGCTTCGATCCAGAACCTATGAAAGGAGGACAAACAGAATCATTAACAGAATGCCATGATTTTATAACCTCGCAACCAGGTAAAGAATCTGTCTTTACAAGAAGAAGGAGTACATCAAAAGATAGATTGTGAAATGATTTCCAGCATTACTACACAGTCATTGATGTATCTTTAGCTAACATTCAATCATTTGGCATCTATAAGTATAAGCAATACGAAAATTTAACATGTAAAATGTAACACAGAGATGATTTTACATGTACCTTATCCTGCCATTCGCGATACTCTACACACTTGTGATAAGGAATGTTGGTGTACATCACCTGTAATGATCAGTGACATATAGTTGAGTAAGTAATCAGATGCAATATTTTACATAAAAACTGCACCGACCTTTACATATGTGGCAATAGTATCACAAAGAACATTAGTTGTTGTGAGTTGCATTAACCTAGGCTGTACAAGCCATGCCAAGGAAGGAATATTCGGTATAAAGGCCATAAAAAAACAGGTGAATTTTTTGAGGGATTATTACTGGTATTTTAGGTTTAATCGATAGGTTTAAGGCTAACATTATAGCATATATGCAGAGACGTAAAGTGCAATTTCTTAGGTAGCCATGCAATTCGGTGCCGCAAATGGCAAATAGAGACGATAACTAACCTAGGAGTGACATTTGATGAACACATACAAACTCCCACAAAACACTGCACCTCATGTACCTCATACAGTCTCAAGCAAACATTTTGCAATATTAACACATATGAGAAAAGGGCCTATCACAACAAAGTTTCCAGTGTCATACAAAAACAGCATTGTACATGGAACAATTGCTTATTACTTACCATTGAGTACAGAGGAATCCATTTATTTTTGCACACAAAGTGCAAGAGGTTGTCTAATTTCTTTCTTAGCAAATATGAAACGTGATTCACATGGTCTCTCATCTGGAAAGAAACAGGTGAATGCTAATAATACGAATTGATATTATGCCGCAGCACAGATCGAGATGGGTTAATGTATAAATGTAGCTCTAGTGGAGCTTTGAATATGTCTGGAATGTTTCTTCATTGTAGAATATTCTTTTGTAATCAAAATGAATGATTCAATTCATGGGAATATGACCGAATGGTTATATGTACACTGTTGTATTACAGTAACCTTAGTCCCTGCACTAAGTTTTTTACGGTACCTCAAGATAGTTCCTCATGGAGAGGTCACAGATGGCTGCTGCATCCTTGTTTCGCATTTGTGTGAACTCCACTATAGCCTTTTCTGTAAATAGATCCAATATAATGAAGATTTAGTTACCCATATTTTGATTTAAACACTGTTTGATTTTACACACGAGTGAAAATTAGCAGAGGATGTGAAAACCAATATAAGCATGTAGACCAACTGAAATTATATACCCTCATACTTCATTAAGTAATAAAACATATTTGCTTAAACGTACAGTACCCAAGCTTAAATATTTGGATCTCTACAATGTACCAAAATTGTTTCCAGTTGTTTCCAGAATATTGTCAAAGACGAGGCAGTCTTCAAATCCCTACAACACAACGATATTAGCATCAGAGACACCACACTGACGAAAGCACTCTTCATAAATCTGCACAAGTGTCTATTAATTGTGGATAAAATGCATGAAACATCTTACACAGTTCATTCCTTGTCCATGAAAAGGTACCATTGCATGCGCCGCATCGCCCATAATTACTGCAGAACTTCCTATATGGTATGGGTAACACTGCAAAAAGATCAAGACTGTATGAAGATTTGAATTATACACGGAAGAATTTGTATGAATGTACAATTACTTATAATTGACATTTTTCTTGTCTCCAATTATGAGAATTTGTTGTTATATTGTTTTATATATATTTGGAATTGGTAAAAAAGAAACGTAGTATAAAAGAAACGTATAAAAGAAACGTAGTTTGCTTTCTATATATGCAAGTTGTGGTTCATGAGTCACATTCATATACACTAAAACATACCAAATGAGTGTGGGTTATAAGTGGATGTTAATAGATCAGGGACTTCCTGTACAAAACATCCGAATGCTTGGAAAGTGAAACATGAATGCAGATAGCTAAAATAACTACCAGTACAAAATTCAAATGTATTGAGATAAGAGACAACTACTGGACTTACTTTGACAGATATCAAAGGCTGAGGTGGCAACTGGAAGTAATCTAGCAACAAATTCTTTCTGAAAAAAAAACAACTTTAATGAACAAACTGTCAATTGAAACTGTGATATGGCTCAGAACAAATCACTAGTACCTTTGAGCTTGCCCCAGGCTAAAACAATACAAGCTAGTCCCGTCCTAACCCCATGACAAACAGGACTTGTTTCCACAGCGCCTGGAGCTCGTGAAACCTCTGTCAAGGTCAGAATGCATGTGGTGTGAGAGTTATTAACATATCTTGAGCTCTTACTGTAGAATAGTGAGATTCTAAATAATACACATGGGATTGTACGTACTGCATGACATGGCACAGATCCCTAAAGCTGCAAAAGAACAATGTTAACTAACACAGGCACAACACATGAACTGATGAATGCTAATCTTCACAAATGATCCAGTAGTTCACAGTATTCACATAGTTGAGTGCATTTCTTTCTATCTCAATCTAAAATGGTATAGCCACGTGTGAAAAAAAACTTGGTAATGAACCACTAATTATTTAATATATCAGACAATTATTTATGAATTTAGGAGACATACTCGCCCATGAGCTTGATAAAATCTGGGAACATTTCATTGAAAAATTGGATGCACTCTTCCTCTGACTTGATAACGCTGAAGTTATCCCACGGCATGAACACCGTGCAGGTGAATGTCTTATCCTGGTTTGGCAGAGCAATGAGCATGAACTTTGATCTTGGCCATATGTGCAGGTGATTCACTTCCATAGCGAACTGATAACATCAAGAAAAATGCACAATCACAAGATGTGTATATTCTTTGCACGCATGCATCTAAAGAAAGCCATTACTGAGTCTGATAATGTTGCATACCGTAATTCGTGGCTTACAAGACACGCTTGCAATTAGAAGATGTCTCGAAAAATCACCTTGCATTTGAATCAGTCCTACAAGCTGAAGGTTGCAGTAGATGGGGACAAGGGTTTATTTTAGCATTATTTTTAGCTCATCTGACATAGTCAGATGCAGCTTGTAGAATCGCATGATTGTCCGTCCGTCCGTCCGTCTGTCAACAGTTGGGCACAAATCTTAACCGCTCGACGTACGGTCACGATATTTGGCACATTGGGGGGGATCGTCAAAACGAGTTGGGATGGCGAAGCTGGGGGTCAAAGGTCAAAGGTCAAGAGGTGTTAGAGAAGGGGGAACATTAACTCCTTAACTTAAGGTATAGGGAGGAAATGCAGAATTGCGGCACAAATCTAAACGGCTTGACCTAGGCTCGTGATAGTTGGTGTATAGCATGATGGTAGGAAAAGCCATTACTGTGCTGAAATTGGAGGTCACAGGTCAAAGGTAAATGGCACAGGGCAGATTTTAGGACATTTTTCGGCGGAGGACATGGTCTGACGGAGCGCGGGGCGAGTAGCGATTGAAAAACTTGTTTTGTTTCGCGGTGACTAGCATCTTTTATGCAGCATCTATTGAGAAGGACATGAATCATACTTTCTGCTGACATGCGAGGTAAGTGTCAGATAACTTTTTGACCCTAAGAGGAGGCTGTTAAACATGAGTTTGTTGAACTGTCTGTTAGAAAGATTCTGACTGCCGCGTTTTGGCTTAGTGTAGAACTATACGATGCCTGGATGTATGAGGCGTACAATGTACAGCAGTGAAATTTCAAAAGCTAAATTTGGTTAAGAAGGTTTGATGCTCTTAAATCGGGGATATAATTTTCTATCCGGCATTCTGTACTGTCAGTATGGCTACATGTAACGTTATTGCCACTTGCCAGTGGCTTTACTGCCAGCATGTCGTTGGTGGGTACTGTGTAGTTTTTGCCTGCGTTAATTGCGGTTACATAGTGGCAAGCTCTCTATGTGCAGCCTGGTAGGCTTTGCGTTAGGTTAATATGCGATTCATCGAGTGCTTACCCTATTCTTGTCTTGCAATAGTGTGTTGCCGACTGACGTGACTGATGGAGCTTTCCATCTTAATCTTGAAGACAGCTTAAAACGTACGCGCCATCGTGGCGCAACTTTCATAACTGATCCCAACGCAACATTCCGTTGAGGAAGTTCCTAGATAGCGCATCCCTGTGCATTCACTAGTTCTCGGCGTGTATCGTGACACATTTGGGCACAACAGGGTTTACTAGAATCCCACCACTCACCGACAGATGTCACCTGCAGAGACGTTGTTGAGCTGCGTGTCGCCCTCTCGCTGCGCAATTTGTTAGACACTCTCAGTCAGAATAGTACTACAGTAATTATACTAACCAATGCTAATAGTGAAAAGGCTACAAGCTGGCGTATCCAGAAATTTGTGATGAACAGTATGGGGACGGGAAAATTGTACCTGGAGCTGCAGGCGGCAAACCCGACGTGTCGTAGGCGTCATCAACAGATGAGCGGGTTCGGTACGGGGGGCGCTCCCAGAAAATTTTATAATATTAAGCCATTTTCTGCAGAGTCTGGAGGCATATTGTTGGCCCAGATTTATGTCTGATGACACTAGTCTCATAGCTCCTAGAACTCAAATACCTACAATTTAGGAGTTTAAAGAATTTCATGACTTTCCAGATGATGTTACCCACCCTGAGTTTGGTAGGGATAGTAATAATACATGTGCTGTTAAAACACAGGAGAATTGCAACACAAGATGACTTGATAATTATAGTCCTTTAACATGGTTAATGGCCACTAAAAAGAAACACACCTTTAGATCTGCTGGATGATTACCATCCGATTGGTACACAAGTCAGTGAGTGTGACAATATACGGCCTAGCTAATATTGGCAGGCTGAGAAGAGAGTCAGGTCATTGATTGTTGTGTTCGGCGCTTCAAGCGTCTCCCATGGGGTTTGCAATAGCAAGACCCTTTCGGCGAGGGTTCGCTTCTGATGAATATGTTGGTACAGATGTTGTCAATCGGTTGTAATTTCGTGTAAGTCGATCAGGTCGGTGTGACCCAAGTAACGCTCACTCGGGTTACAATCGTATCGGGGGTGTTTGAGCCTGCGCGTGCGTAGACCGTCTGTGTGCATGTACGTGTGTGTAACTGTGCATGTATGTACTTGTTTAGCCCTGTTTATTGTTTTTTTTACACTGTTTACTACTGTGTGTATAATACATGTATGTTAATAAAGGATAACTTGTATAGTAGCGATGATATCTCTGATTCTCATCACTTTTCCAAGTTTTCTTGTTCAAGTTTCCAAAAAAAAAATTATCGATTATGGATTTTGATAACCAAGCGCTTGGTTCGAGCCACTGTTCAACCGATGATCGAGTATAATCGATCATCGTGACATCACTATTGACCACCTTATCCATTTGCAAAGGGAGGTCCTTGTGGGGCAACAGAAGCAGGAGGGCGTTCAGTCTGACGTTACCCCTGAAGACCCACTGCTACTAAAAAGTATTTTTTTAAATTTTATTGATTTTTTTCTGGGCCTGCAAACGGGGGAGGGGTGGCGTACGCCGGCTCCGCCCTATGCTGGATATGTCACTGGGCTTATGAAATACTCATAATTTAAGGGGAACAACATAAAAAACAACAACAGTATGGCATTATTTATGGTAAGCATGACCTGATAGTGAAGAGGGCTATTATGTTTGTAAACAATTTTCAGATTATTACCTTCTAAGTTTGAGGCGTGTCTAATGCATTGGAGTTTCTTGTACATCGTGGATCGTAAATTTACACATGTATACATAGTGAAAGCCCCGCCCCCCTCACTGGCACTTCAGCATACGATAATACCCGATGTTTCTAAAGTAATGCATTCTAGATAAAAGGTTCCTAACGTGAAATTCCACAACGTGAATCATGTTGTCCCACTGACCTCAATTATATAACTGACCATACAGTCTCATGAAGAGTTTATCAGTCAAAAGAAATTGGTAATAACCCACCTCTACTAATACAAACACAAATATGAATGCAAGTCGACATTGGCAAACATATATATATATATATGTTTATGTGATTATGGAACACAGGAAAGGGAGTTCAGAATAGCAATTGCTATCCTGTCCCCGGGGTACATTAAATGAGCTAAATGAGGATACTGCTGTAAATGCACAATTATGAGTGCAAGTAAACTTGGTCAAACATGTATATTGGCTAATTAATTAAGTAACACAAGAAAGAAACTTTTGGGGTAGAAAACCCCATTCCTTCATTTGAACGTTTTGAAAGAGCTAATTTCCGTTTCGTAACACGAGAAAAGTGATTATTTACAAATCACAATGTGTGAATATATATGTAACTTCATTTATCGTAACGGGGCATATTACTGTAATTAAAAAGGCTTTCAACAAATTTAAACTGAAAGAGATATATACTGACTAATGGTAAGCAAACAGAAAAAGGCAGATCAAACTTACTTCCCCACCTTACGGGGCAATACAAACTTACTTGTCCATTCAGAGGTCTCAGGCATATTTCTTTGTAGGCATGAGGGATATATTCTTGGCTATAGTTGAACATAGCTCGCTTCATCATCTGTGAACGCAGAGTGGAGTGGGCCCCATCGCAGCCTATGATGAAATCAGCTGAGGCAGATTCTGTCGTGCCATCCGGCCTGCAAGTGGCACATAGAGTTGAGTTATTCAACAACTACTGTATACGCCATATTTTTCGCGTACAGATATTTTCGTGAATTCAGACCTGACGGACAATTTCGCGAGTGGTTAATTTCGCGGTCGGTGAATTCCCGAATGAGTGAAGAACAGCGTGTTGTTATTTTCGCGGTTGGGGACGCGTTCGCGAAATTCGCGAAAATTAAACTGCTGCGAAATATACAGTGTATACAGTACTTTCTACATGCCATAGAGATAAAAAAAAAAAGTGCTTACATAAATATAAGTATTTCTCATGCCCCTAAGTGCCCCTTTCTCAATAGACGCTCATAACTTTGTACAACCACACCTCTCAAATGTCATGTTATTAGTTTCAAAGTCGCAGGAGACGAGCTTGTAGCCGAAATAAAGGTGAACGTTGGGAAAACTCTCAGCCTGTGTGAGAAGGTCCTCATTTAGTTTCCTGCGGTCCATCGATAAGTTATACTGCAACGAGAATATCAAGCGTAGCAGAGTAAATCAGAGGTAAGCAGTGCACACTCACGCTCGCTCACACCCATGCATGCTCACACACACCTTCACGTGCACACACACACGCACATGAACACGCTCTGACACTTGCACGCGCACATGCAAACATTCCTTGCACGCACACACACTTATTCTTCTCTGAACGCATGCACCAACATTCACTTCTTCGTACGCACGCAATCACGCACGGGTGTGCACATCCCCGCATGCACACACTCACGCACACGTTCTCACACGCACGCGCACGTTCTCACACGCACGCGCACATCATCACGCGCACGCGCACATCATCACGCACACGCACACATCCTCACGCACACGCACACATCCTCACGTGCACGCACACATCCTCACACGCACGTGCACATCCTCACACGCACGCACACATCCTCACACGCACGCACACATCCTCACACGCACGCACACATCCTCACACGCACGCACACATCCTCACGTGCACGCACACATCCTCACACGCACGCACACATCCTCACACGCACGCACACATCCTCACACGCATGCACACATCCTCGCACGCACGCACACATCCTCACGTGCACGCACACATCCTCACACGCACGCATGTCAGTGAGGATGCGTCGCGTGCGTAGTGATGAATGTAGTGCGTTGCGTGTGAGATGTGTGCGTGCAACAGTTGATGATGTGTGCGTTGCCAGGTGAGGATCGTGTGCGCTGCACGTGAGGATGTGTGCGTGCACGTGAGGGATGTGTGCGTGGCGGTGCGTAGTGAAGGCATGTGTTGCGTTCGTAGGGCGTGTGATTGATTGTGTGCGTGCACGTGAAGGATGTGTGCGTGCACCGTGAGGATGTGTGCGTGGCACGGTGAGATGATGTGCGTGCACGTGAAGAAAATGTGTCGTGGCGGTGTGAGGATGTGTGCCGTGCGTGTGAGGATGTGTGGCATTGCGTGTGAGGATGCGTGCGTGGGGCACCGTGAGGATGCGTGCGTGCACGTGAGGAATATGTGCGTGTGCGTGATGATGTGCTGGGCGGTGCGTGCGTGTGAAGGATGTGTGCGTGGCGTGTGAGGAATGTGTGCGTGAGTGCGAAGGGAATGATGTGCGTAAGTGTGTACAGGATGTTGCGCAGTAGCGTGTAAGGATGTGTGCGTGCACAGTGAAGATGTGTGGCGTACACGTGAGGCGATCGTGTGGCGTGCGTGTGAGGATGTGCGCGTGCGTGTGAGGATGTGTGCGTGCGTGCGAGATGTGTGCGTAGCACCAGTGAGGATGTGTGCGTGCACGTGAGGATGTGTTGCGGTGCGTGCCACGTGAGGACTGTTTTGTGCGAGTTGCGTTGAAGGATATGTGCGTGTGCGTGCGTGCGTGTGAGAATGTGTGCGTGCACGTGAGGATGTGTGGGCCAGTGCGTAGGCGTGAGGATTATGTGCGTGTTCGTCGCGTGCGTGCGAGGATGTTGAAGTGCGTGTCGAGGAATGTGTGCGCTGGCGTGTGAGGATAGTGGGCACGTGCGTGTGAGGATGTGCACAGTAGCGTTGTTGAGGATGTAGTGCGTGCGTGTGAGGATGTGTTGGCGTGCGTGCGTTTGAGGATGTAGTGGCGTGCGTGGAGTGAGGATGTGTGCGTGCGTAGCGAGGATAGTGCAGCGTGCACGTGAACGGATTGTGTGCGCGGTGCGTAGTGAAGGATGTGCGCGTGCGTGCGAGGAATGTGGTGCGTGCTAGCAGTGAGGAATGTGTGCGTGCGGTGTGAGGAATGCGGTGCGTGCGTGTCGATGAATTGTGTGCGTGCACGTGAGGAATCGTGTTTTGCGTGCGTGTGAAGGATGTGCGCGTAGCACTGAGGATGTGTGAGTGCGTGTGAGGATGTGTGCGGG